TATTTGTTTCTGTAACTGCCATTTGTAATACGCTGATTAAACAAAGAGCATTTAAACAATGGTATTTTGATGAGACGAGTACAGCTCAAAACAGGTAAACTATAACTCGTTCATGTCAATATGTTTAAAACAAAATCCTAAGGCACAATGCTTTGCATTCACAGCAGCAGCTTTTTTTCCCCAGTGTGAAATGGTTTGAGTGCATACACGTCCCGTTGCCCAGGCGTAACTGGATCAGTGCACAGCAGGGAGAGCAGTGTCTGCAGGAAGACTGCTTCAGTGGGAAAGAGAGAACTCAAAGAATATTCATAAAGAGCAAATTAAAACATCATATGAGGCCTCGATTAGGCTTGACAGCTTTCCTAGAGACTTTCTGTTGTCGTTACTAGTGCTTAACAGCAGCTGAGGATTTGTGAAAGAGCAGCCGCCCCTCACCTCCTGCAGCTTTTAAGTGATGGTGATGGGTGAGACTCTTTACGTTGGGTTCTGCTGATTGCTTTCATTGCTGAGTTGCATATCTATGCTACATGGTTTCTGCGAGATTAGTTTTATCCCAAAAATTTCACATTTATGAATGTGATAAGTGTACTTCCCATAATGATATAATTTAATATAACAAGCATGTTGCAGGTGATCTGTATGTGATATTGTCATACTTCTGAGGATCATTCAAACCCTCTGCCTTCACTGTTTTTTCGTGTATCTTCAGTGATGTCTTGACCAGCAGGCAAAGAAATGCTGTAAACGTGTGCTGAGTGTTTTCTCTTCAATCTGTGGCAATGAGAAAAAACAAAAACAGTGAAAAAAAATCAGTGAATTAGGACTGCTTTGGGATGCATTTCTTGTTATTTGGACAAAGTTGCAAAGCCCCTTTACTCTGTTCAGAGGCATTTTTTTTTCCTGCTTTTCTGTGATAATATTCAAATGAGAACCATATCTAACCTTGATGCTTGTGTTTGGGGCCAGTTAAGTTAGACGTAAGTTATTATAGGGTCTTTTTATAATTGGTAGAGAGCGATGGGTACCTGTAACAGGAATTGCAGAGGAGCTTCTCCTTTTTGTGAAGTTCACATAAAGGACATCTGGCCACAATGTTCCTCAGCAAGGGCTTGAGGTTAACAGTAATGACTTGTAATCTTACAGGTAAATGTAGATAAGTTAACTGAAGATTTCAAAGCAGTGTGCAACTCAAAATTGATGGGAATGTTGGTTAATGTGGATGCCAGAAATTGTTTTCAAAAGAAAAAAAAAAGATATTTTTCAGAATAATTTTGGTCAAAACAAGTTTCTGTTCTTATTGCTAGAATTACATCAATTTTTAAGGTTCTTTTTTAATTTTTTGAAAGCTAAAGAAAGGAACAAAATGATAATTCCTCTTCCTCCTTCTGAACAAGGCAACTGGGTTAAGGCAAGCCATTGAAATTGCTGAGATATTCATAGGTACTGTGAAATTAATTCATTGGGAGTTAGCTTGAAGCTTTTATTCTAAAGGACCTCATTGGGTATTGAAGTGTTAAGAGGTTTTGGTTTTGGTTTTTTGAGGTTTTATTTTTATATTTATATCTTCCATAACCCGGAAGAGAAATGTGTGTAGTTGTGAAGAATGGTACCGGCTACCCTTTTTTGTTCCCGATTGGTGTTACATTTGTTGAAGAAGTAGTTGGTGGAGCCATCTACAACGGTTGGGAGATAGCACAGAAAAGAGAAAAATTAAGAGAGTGGGGGGGTGTGGCAGGGAGTAGGTGGCCAGGCTGCAGGGAGAGAGGGATTTCTAGAGGACAGAGAGCACAGGACAGAGTTTGCTTCCACTCAGAAAGTCAGTATATGAGAGAGAAGCACAGAGCCACTGTGAAGGCACAGTGGGAAGGGGAAGAATTGTGTGTAACTCATTTATATTGTTGGGTATTTTTGCTTTTGCTGTAAGCTTGCTTCCCCTCCACAAGTTTCAAGTTTCTGCACAAATGAAATTTGGTTTGGTGAAGTGTGGAAGCCCTTTAGTCTTTTGAGGGAGCTCACCAAGGAGAAAGCCTAAACAAAACCCTGTCCCAAAGCTGTGGCTTACTTTAGAGCCTTGTCTCACAGTCATTTAAGGAAGTGTATAGTAGAATGAAAATTTAAGCTTTTGGAGTTCTTGTAGAGCCTTGTACTCTAAACATTATTTTATATTTAAACTTAAAAATCAACTTAATGTAAGCTAAGGGGGAAGGTCAGATACATCACTAATACCTCTGTGTCAACAACTACATGACCCTAGAGGTGCTGAGTAGTAGTCTGCTCAAAGGGTCATGCAAATGAGATTTGTTGATACTCGCTGGCAATGCTTTTATAACATTGCATACTGCTTCACAGCAAAAGCAAAATAGTGCAGTTTGATACATGAGCCTATCTGTGCACGTTATCATTATTTTGAATCCACTTCTAAAAGCAACATTCTTGTAATCTAATGAAAGAGCTTATTTTTGCACGATTATCACACTCACGTACAAGATTTTTTTCCATATTTACATTGTCAAAGGCAGCAGTTAGTGCACTGAGGCTGAGATTTTTATCATTTGCGTTAGTATAAACATATCAGTGAATCAGATTAAAGATACTTAGACATCAAGCACAATTTTTAGGTAAAATATGATTTCTTGGATAACTGATGCTTTGAAATTTGGTAGAATCCCAAATGGGCAAACTCTTGACCTGGAGTACAGTAAAGACTTGATCTTTAAAAAGAGAGATTTCTTCATTGAACACGCATAGTATACACAAAGTGCCATGATCTAATGAGACAGAAATTTGTAGTTTGCAAGATTAACTATTTAGCTTTATTTCAATCATGATTATTTTAGCATCTTTGCTTTAATTGGGTATTTTCTGAAGTCTTTATTCTTTTAAAGCTGGCAAGTGTTCAAAGTGGTGTTCTGGGGAAATGATGTCTCTTAACTCAGTGTAAATACGCTTAAGCACGGCAATGATTACGTCATTTGTGGAAGGCTGGTTAAAGTAGGGTAATCTTGCTGAAATGGAAACTGAAATGTATTTGTATTTAATATACATTTATTTTTCTGGATAGCTAGCTAGACCTTGGAAACCCTAATTCAAACTTGATCTGCAAAACATATGCAGGAGTTTCCATGGGCTGAATTGGTCTCTGCCAGCTGGCATTGCTCTTGAGTATTAATGCTTAAGATTTTAGAACTACAAACAAACTGTTCAGTGACAGTGTCCGCTTAAAAAAGACGTTATGAGGAGCAGAGGCTAAGTATATATAGCCTATCATCAGCCCATTCCCAAACTGCTACTGAAGTTAATGTCATAGAATCATAGAATGGTTTGGGTTGGAAGAAACCTCAAAGATATCTAGTTCCACCCCCCCTGCCATGGGCAGGGACACCTTCCACTACACCAGGTTGCTCAAAGCCTCATCCAACCTGGCCTTGAACACTTCCAGGGATGGGGCATCCACAACGTCCCTGGGCAACCTGTTCTAGTGCCTCACCACCCTCAGAGTTAAAAATGTCTTCCTTATATCTAATCTTAATCTACCCTCTTTCAGTTTAAAGCCATTACCCCTTGTCCTATCACTGTATACTCTTGTAAAAAGTCCTTCTTGAGCTTCCTTGTAGGCAAGCCTTCAGGTACTGGAAGGCTGCTATAAGATTACCCCGGAACAGCCGCAAATTGTATTAAGTCAATGAGAGTTTTAAAGCTCATGGGAATCAGTAATAAAATGTGGCTTCATATTCCTTCCAGTCATTCAATAAGAACATGTTGTAAATAATTGGTACCTGCCATACTTCGTTTAACTTACTCTTGTGCAGTACCAGAATTATTCTGTTAACCTGCTTTGGAAATAACAAAGGCTCAGCCCAACAGCTCCCACAACTTTACTCACACAAATTTTCTTGTTTCTGGGGTCATTCAGATGAATGAGGATTGCATGGACTGGCCCCAGTTTCTCCACAGAACATGAGGACTCCCCAGTCACAGAAAATATCTTCTGTGTCACCAACTGTCTGCAGATAAAAATCTTTTATTTGGGAAATGGTTACAGCTTTTTTCTGAACTACTTGTTCTTTTCCACTGTCATAGGAAGTCAATGCACAGCGTGTATGAGGAGAGGTCTCAAAAAACCTGAAAAATACAGTTTTTTACCCTCTGATTTGTGTGTTTTGTGAGTTGAACTGGCTGATTACAGTTTTTAATAATGGAAAAAGCAACCATATCAGATTTTAAGGATATAGGGTTTTATTGGTTTTGTTGATACTAATTATAGCAACATGTTGAGTATTTACCATAGACCCCAGAGATTTTAGAAAAGCAATAACTTCTGTTCTTTGGAGAGTTACCAACTGGTATGTCTCCTTCTTCAAGAACTTACTCCGTATAATCATTTCACAGATTGCATGAAACAAACTCTCCCTAACTAGCTTTTAATTTTTATTTTAGTTATAGTAAAGGAAAGACTAGAAGTGAACTACCTGAAATTACCTCTATTTTTCAAAATGTATTATGTTTTTTTTTCTCATTATTTAACATGATATGAAAGGAAGAGAATGTGATATTAATTAGCATCAAGGTATAGAGAGTAGTGCAGGAGAAATGCAAAACAAAACCCTCCACAGTCCAGAAAGGATATTCATGCAAGTGAGAGAGGAGATTAGATTCATGTCTTGGAGCGGATGACTCCTATCTTGGAGTCATCTTTGGACTTTGGCTCCTATCTTGCTAGTCAGAACTAACTGATGACTTTGTGATTGCTCAGTTCTTAGTTCTCTTATGTGCTTAATTCCTGTGTATGTTCTTGAATTCGATAAAAAGTGAAATGTATCTGTAATCATAAAAATAGGTGATGAAGACTAATCCAATACTTATTTTGTGTTTTCTGAGTTTCTCCAAGAATTAAATTCTTAGAGTTATAGGAGATGCAAACTGATTCTGTGACCTTGGTTTTGCACTGCGGCAGAAAAGCAATTAAGTGTTCAATGTTAGCATCTTCTCTTGTTTTCCAGGTCCGTGGGGGAGATGCATGGGAGATGAATGCGGTCCAGGTGGCATCCAGACGCGAGCGGTGTGGTGTGCCCATGTGGAGGGCTGGACCACGCTGCCCACAAACTGCAAGCAGCCAGAGCGACCAGACAACCAGCAGACCTGTTTTCGGGTCTGCGACTGGCACAAGGAGCTGTACGACTGGCAGATCGGTAACTGGAACCAGTGTCGGCCTGTCCTCTCCCGGAGCCATGAGAAACCCCTGGAGTGCCTCAGAGGGGAAGAAGGGATCCAGACAAGGGACATCACTTGTATTCAGAAGTCCAACGGGGTGCCAGCTGAGGATGTCATCTGCGAGTACTTTGAGCCGAAGCCCCGCCAGGAGCAGGCGTGCCTCATCCCGTGCCGGCAGGACTGCATCGTGGCTGAATTCGCCCCCTGGTCGGAGTGCTCCAAGACCTGCGGCAATGGGCTTCAGCATCGAACTCGGCACGTTGTGGCCCCACCGCAGTTCGGTGGGTCTGCTTGTCCTAACCTCACCGAGTTTCAGATCTGTCAGTCTAGCCCCTGCACTGCTGAAGAAAGCCTCTATAGCCTAAATGTGGGACCCTGGAGCGCATGCTCAGTGCCCCACTCGAGACAAATAAGGCAAGCAAGGAAGCGAGGGAAGAGCAAAGACAAGGAAAAGGACAGAGAAAAGGCAGTTCGGGATCCTGAGGCTCGTGAGTTGATTAAGAAGAAGAGGAATCGAAACAGACAGAATAGACAGGAGAACAAATATTGGGACATACAAATTGGGTACCAAACCAGGCAGGTCACATGTACTCACAGAAATGGGAAAACTGCCGCTCTGAGGTAATCATTGTTTAATAATTTGCACGTCTTTATTTTTCTCTGTTTAAAGTAAAGCATGCATATTCGTATTATTTTACATGATCCTGAATCTCAGTATGGGGCACATGCTGTTTCCAGTATGAACATCCCTCATCAAGCTCAAGATGTTTCTGTGTCATGAAACATGCAAACTGTGCTGGTGATCACACTAAGCATCACATAAGTGTGCTGTTAAACTATACTAACGCCCTAGCTTCTGTCTAGATAGATTTCCCCCAAAAGCTTGAAGATATTTGTCAGACATCTGCCCTGTTTCTGTGGGTTCAGGGAGGTTTCTGCCCTCTAACAAGTCATGCATGTTTGGAAGGGGTGATGTTACTGTGTTTAAGGTTCTGGGCACAAAGGCTAACAGGAAACTGACCTGAGTGGCTCACAGTAAAAGTAGAAACCAGAGGGAGACTCTGCGTGAGAAAACAGTATCTCTTCTTTCCAGTATCTTTTGTTTTGAAATGGAAAAGCATGAAATACTGCTTGTCCTTCTTGATTCCTAAAAAAAATTTGAGAAAGGGAGTCTGTGAAACCTCCTTGTTTGAGAAGGGATGGTGGGGAAGTGGGGGAAGGGCTCTTTACATTAGTGATGGGTGATAGGACAAGAGGAAATGGGCATAAGCTTAGTCAGGGGAGGTTCAGGTTGGATGTTAGAAAGTATTTCTTCTCTGAAAGGGTTGTCAGCCACTGGAATAGGCTGCCCAGGGGGGTGGTTGAGTCCCCATCCCTGGATGTGTTTAAGAAAAGGGTGGATGTACTGCTTAGGGACATGGTTTAATGGGGGATTAGGGACAGTTGGACTGGATGATCTCTAAGGTCTTTTCCAACCTAGAAATTCTATGATTCTATGATTCCATGTACTTCCTCTTTTTCTTTCTTATCTGCATCTTTATGCCGTCTATCTGTTTTTTGCTGATACTTTTTATTTAGTTAGTTAGTTATTATTTTACTTTTCAAGAGTTTTGCAGTCACAGATGTTTTGATAACTCTTTCCGTAGTCTTCTGGGTACTTTTCCGCAGCCATATTATCTCCCACTTCTTTGTTTTACCCAGCGATCTCTTGCTAGCTCATGTTTTTCCCTTCCCATCCCCCAGAATGTTTTTGTCCAACTCAAAAATCTTCTTTCAGTCTAGCCTACCTTTTTCTGCCTTTGATGTGATTCTTTCTATTTCCTTCCCTCTAGTTCAATGCATGATTAATCAATTTTGCTTCAGCTGTGAAATGACTAAGGTATCTTGCTGAATGAGGCTGACGCCCATTGCTGCTAGGTTAGTGTTTATGAACTTTTTTCAAGGTATTTTACTTTGGAGTTTTTGTTGTGCCAGTTAAACATTCTGTCATGGAACTTGTAATCGCTTCAACCTTTCCTGTCAGAAATCATATATTATAGTTTTTCAAGTGTATTAAATGTTTTTCGAGTATGTTTCCTTTCAAGAGAGGATCCAACAGTAAAACAGGAAGATTATGAGGGTCCCTGAATTAAGGGAAGAACTGAAAGATTTGAGTTGTTTAGTTGGAAGGAGGCACATATGAGTGAAGATGTAAAGCGTCTATGAGTATGTGGAAACCCGTCACAAGGAAGAATGGAATGAGCTATTCTCTATATATTATGGATGTACAGGAGAAGCAATGAGGGGCCAATCACAGCAGTGCTGAATGAGGTTAGACTTCTCAATACTAAGAATAGTGAAGCTCTGGAAAAACTTGCCTGGGGAATATGTCACCTCTGTCTTGTAAGGTTTATAAGAATAGGCTAGAAATGCATGTGTCAGTAATGACACACCTCCAGTAACTCTTGGTTAGAAAAGTGGGGCTGACTGCATACTTTTTGCAATCTGTTCTAGCTCTGGTTTTCTACAGTTCTTTCAGATTTTGACCTACACTCGCATGAATATCTGCACAAGGAATCTCAAAATCGGCTTGCTCAGGCAGTCCCAGGTGTTGGCTGCAGCACTGGCTCAGCACTGGTACAGGAAGAGGTTGCCTTTAGCCCTTCCCTTTCCATCCTCACATCATGCAGCGCACACTGTGCCTAGCCCAGGAACATCATTACCCTTTAAATACAGGGAATAATTTATCAAGCGTGTTATTTGCTAGCAGATAGCAGCCAGCTGATCTGTTTGAAAGTCTCCAAGTTTTTATAAGGTTCAACAAATAATTCAGAACTGCCATATTAAAAAAAAAAAAAAAGAGAGGTGGGGTACATTCGTGTGCTGAGTCTCTGATAAATGGTAAAAGAAAGTAAAAGTACAATTGGAAGTCAGTGGCATACTTTACTCATCATCTTTACACTCAGTCTTGAATTCACTCAGATCAATAATGCTGTCTTAATTTCAGATACCTCAGCGTATTATACCGTATAAGCACGTTTTAGGCAGTAGCAGGGAAATGGATGAAACCCTTTTGCCTGAGGCAGTGAAACAATAGATAATACAACATAGGAGCAGTTCTTCACAAGAGAGGAAATGATACAAATGATGCAGTGGACATTTTGACATCTAATGGATATAATTTTATGTTGTTAAATGCACTAAGGATTTCTAATAGTCTTCCCATCAAGCTTAACATCGAATCTTTTTTTCCAGTTGCACAGTGAAAACAACAAAATTTGATTAAATGACTCATGTGATTCCTTGGCTTTAGAGACCTATCTGCATGTCATCTATGTATCCATTTGTTTCATTTACACTGCACTCTGCACTAAATGGTCAAATGCTTTGTTCTATGATTGGCATTCCAGCATCTCAAGCAATAGAATTATTTATCTGCCCAGACTGTCAATGCAGCCAGCTCAAATGATTTTATAATCTTTGTCACATAGTAACTGTGTTACTAAATAATATGGACAAGTAGGGTGACTGGAAAACCTGCCATGCTCATGTGAAATGCTCTTCAGCTTTAATAGTCCGTTTTCAGGGAATTTTGACTTTAGCAATCAGAAACAATCAGCCCCCTGGCAGCATGACTGAAAGAAGAAGAAAAACCCTCAGGCAAGTAATATTTTTTTGCAGACGTAGCAAAATTGGTGTAGTATAGAAGGGGTTTCAAAAAACAAGTTTCAGAAGGGTGCTCCAGAGAAAATTATTCTGTAACGCTGTCAGCAAAACTTCAAAAAGGCAAATTCTCTCGACACGAGTGCACCAGACATGGGTAAGAGAATTGAAACAAGAAAATCAAAGTGTAATTTATACACTTTATTGCCGAGTGAACAATACATAGTCTCCCGTGAAGGATGAAATACTGGATTTTGTATTGCTTGTTCTGCGATAATGTATGTGTTACATGGCCTATATTTGCTTTATGTTTCCCTTAGTCTGAAATTCTGGTGCACTGAAAATATTTTAAAAATAGAATTGTTGAAGAAAGAATTCAGTAATTAAAGCTAACTTATAAAATTACTGTTCTGGATAGCTAACAAAACCTGAATAGTTTTACTGTTAGTGTAATGGACAATACTGATCCTCTGAAATGTTTCCTCTTATTTTTTTTGGTGACAGTGGAGTTTGCCAGAGGTCTCACACAGAGCCCTTAGACATCAAACTGTCAATGTAGAGAAACATAAAACATGTCTAAAAGTTCATTTTGAGTTACAAATCTGTCGCACTGTTACAAGTTGTGATGATTGTGCCTCATGTTAAGCCTATCATTTTCTATCGTCCTATATACTCTGGGTTTGCTTTCTTCTACTCTGCCAAATGATTACCATTGGGTCTCAAGCATTTCCTCATAATTGTCTTCCTGAGCAGACTTTTGGGGGAAAGTTTAGCAAAAATGTTTTGACTGTTTTTGTACAAGTCTAAGAAAGATATTTTGTTTTAGCAGCATTTAATTTATACAACCATTTTACTAAGATGCTTTATTGAGAACCCACTGGATTGGGGAAAGAATTTGATATTTGGAGTGACTGGAGCAGGTTATGAGCACGGACATTTATAACTGTAAGAACATGGAACAGAACAAGAGTATCTTCTTGGCCTGTAGGTTTCTGCACTTCAGCAAAGATTTCGCAATTCACTGACCAAGTGCATCAAGTTCCCCTGTAGCAGTTGGTTCACAGGTGTGGGCACAGCCTGAAACTGCTAAGAGTCATGGAGCTCAAATGGCTGCAAATGTGGCTGTAGTTAAAGCAGTTCTTCAAGGATATAATTGCCTATTAAAAAAAAAAAAAAAGAAGGAAAAAGCCCCAGGAATTTCTGCACTATTTCCTTTCTCTTTCTCCGTCATTTGGATGTGGCTTCTTTATCTTGCTTAAGCTGGGACCAAAACACCTCTCCCTGTCTGAATGGGGGGAGAAATGGAGGAGGCCAAGCAGGAAGCTGTCCCCAGCAGCTCTTCTGCTCTAGTCCCTAGAACTGGTTAATATTCCCTTGGCAGCACCTCTGTGGCGGAGACCTGTTTCTAAAGCTGAACATTATTGATTGCTTTAAGTGAGAATTCAAGAAACAGTAAAATTTTAGATATATTCAGGGCTTTTATTTCTTTGTTGAGAAACAACATTACACAGTAACAGCAGTGGAACATAATGGTGGGAAAGAAAAGCATCCAGCTTTTAAGAAATGCTGATCAGTTTCTGGGCAGATTGGTTTAGCCCCTTTGCACATTTCATGGTATGATTGTGTTTAATTTGTTTCACCTCTGTCCTTCTCAGAAAGTAATTATTTATTACTTATTTTCATCCTCCTCACTGATTCTGTGCATTCATGCAATATCTAGCAAACTAGATCTACACCTTGTAATGAATTAAACTCTCTTGGAAGTTTCTGTAATGGTCTAATTGCAGTGCTTTATCAACTTTCGAGTTTGGGAGAGTTCAAGCTTTTATTTATTCCAATATTACAGTTGAGACATGAGAGATGACAAGTGGGGCCAAAATTATTGAATTGTCTTGCTAATTTTGGTCATCCGCTTTGAGGTATATAATGCCCATTTTTCAGTTTACCTGACGTAGACCTGTATCTGCTTAAGCACAGCC